AGATGGAGTCTCACTCTGTCACCCAATCTGGAGTGCAGTGGTGTGATCTCTGCTCACTGCAACCTCTGCCTCCAAAGTTCAAACGATTATCCTGCCTCAGCCTCCCAAGTAGCTGGGATTACAGGCATGCATTACCACATCCAGCTAATTTTTGTATTTTTAGTAGAGATGGAGTTTCCCCATGTTGGCCAGGCTGGTATCAAACTCCTGACCTCCAGTGATCTGCCTGCCTTGGCCTCCCAAAGTGCTGGGATTACAGGCATGAGCCACCACACCTGTTCTTCAGCAATTATTTCTTCCATAGTTTTCTGTTTATCTGTTTGCTTCATACTCTTTCTCTTTTGCTTCTGATACACTGATAGCAGAATCCACTGAGAATGGTCATCAACAATAGCCACAGCTTGTTTTGACATCATCTTTTCTCTAATTTTCCCATAAATACGCCATCAATCACTTTAATAAATCTAACAAACAGAGGCTGGAAACAAACTCATCCACTTTGTCTCATACATGTCTTTACTTAAGGTTACTATCAACAGGACTCAAAGCAGAAGGATGGACCAATCTACAGTATATACCTCAACCACACTGCCGATGTATTCAGCTGCTGAACGCAACCAATTGAATAAATCCCCCAAACCATGAAGGTTTCCCTTACAAAGCCATGTGACTTTCTCCTTTAGTTTCTATATTAACCTTTCCACGTTGCTGAAGGCATTAGATCAGGTACAGTAGGATGTATGAGCAATTGCACAGTTTCTTCCTTGGACCACAAGGAGATAGCTGAGGGTAATTCTATCATCCATAAAAACCTTAGTCCCTGAACTGAGGCTAAAGAAGACTGCAATTGTATCATTAATCTTTTAGATTAAATTCAGGGGCAAATTTCTTACCAATTTTTCTAATTTGATGATTACCATTGTAGGGATAACTGTCTAGGGCACACATAACTAATAAGTCAATTATCCCTCCAGGAAGCTCATCCTCATAGCCAAGTGTAGATTTTGGAGTTCTCTCCAAAATCGTCTAAAGCTTACATAATCTACTGGTGGTGTTTGCTTAAACTTTCAAAGGTCTCTTACAACCATCCTTGTGGTTCAAGTCACTGTGTTTTATTTGATAGGAGGGGAAAATAACGCATGATTTGGACATAAGACATGTAGTCTTGGCCGGGCACAGTGGCTCATGCCTGTAATCCCAGCACTTTGGGAGGCCAAGGTGGATGGATCACGAGGTCAGGAGTTTGAGACCAATCTGGCCAGCATGGTGAAACCCCATCTCTACTAAAAATACAAAAAATTAGCTGGGCATGGTGGCACGTGCCTGTAGTCTCAACTACTCAGGAGGCTGAGGCAGAAGAATTGCCTGAACCCGGCAGGCGGGGGTTGCACTGAGCCAAGATCGCGCTATTGCTCTCCAGCCTGGGCGACAGAGCAACACTCCATCTCAAAAAAAAAAAAAAAGACATATGGTCTTATGGTCTTAAGGACAATGGCCCTAGAAAGAACGTTATTTACAATGACTGTGTCCCCCAAAATGGACTGATGTCAGTTAGAAGACACAGGTTGGCAATGTCTCCAACAGGGCCTCCAGACCAGCTAGTTGGCCTTGGGGTTCTCAGTTCAGTTCAGATAATTGAGATTATCCCTGTTTTTT